GTTTAAACTAGAATTTCATTTTCACCTGATGACACTATCATTTGAATTGATTCAGAGCATATTCTTAAGGACACATGGTTATTTTAAATGACTCCCCCATTTTCCTGCTATATGATATGCTCATAACATTACAAGGGGCAATAACAGTGCAAAGCAACCACATTATCTATTTTATCTCTTGATAAAGCATTTTGTTTCATTAGTAAATAACTAAAGCTAAAGAAAGTTGACTGAACATTACTGCGTTTGCTCTTGGAGTTTTGATTCCCACAGCTATGTCTCCTCATCACCGATACCGGTACTTTGTTTAAGTGCCAGTATTGGTGCCAAAACCAATATAATATTAGTATCAGTGCAACACATGCATGAGTACAATACAACACTGTTGCTAACTTTATCATTCAAAAATATCAAGCTCCATCATCACTCAAAGGGGTTTAGTAACACTGTGTTTAATAACTGACTCATCACATTGATTTATCAGTCTACTCAGGCTCAAGAAGAGTTTATTAACAGATTAATAACTGATCAAACTGATTTATCAGTCTTCTCAGGCTTAAGCAGAGTTTAGTAACAGTTTAATAATGGATCACATTGATTTATCAGTCTACTCAGGCTTAAGCAGAGTTTAGTAACACTGAGGTTAATAATTGATCATCTCATTGAATTATCAGTCTACTCAGGCGTTAGTAGAGCTCAGTGACACTGAGACTAAGAACTGGCTCAAACATAGTGATTTATCCGTCTACTCAGGCTTTAGTAGAGCTCAGTGACACTGAGACTAAGAACTGGCTTAAACATAGTGATTTATCAGTCTACTCAGGCTTTAGTAGAGCTCAGTGACACTGAGACTAAGAACTGGCTCAAACATAGTGATTTATCAGTCTACTCAGGCTTTAGTAGAGCTCAGTGACACTGAGACTAAGAACTGGCTCAAACACAGTGATTTATCAGTCTGCTCAGGCTTTAGCAGGAACTTCAATGTGTATAAAGAAGCTATTTGTTGAGTTCCTCTTTAGAGACTAATGAGCATGTTTTGAACAAATGCTTTTAAAATACTTAATAAACATGCATTTCTTTGGCATTTATTTATAAGTATGAATGTAAAATGAATTACTGAGAACAAATACTTCTTCTCTGTATTCTGTATATAATACTTGTATTCCGTTACATCCCAACCCTGTTAATAATATTGGTTATTGGTCAAGACACTGATAAATCTAACTGTAGTTGTATTTTGTTCACTTTGTTCAGTTTAGTATCAAAAAGAAGAGCTCTAGTCCTGGGGTAAGGCTGAGCCTGAAACAGGTCGCAGAGAATGCCCATTAAAAGTGCAATTTTTATACATGCCAATTAGCAAGGCACTTATACAGTCTGACACTAAAGGGCAAGGGCTTACAGGGGGTCTATCTGTGCACATGCCTGCCTGCCAGTCAGCTACTGGGCAATGCTCAGATTTATCTCAGTTTGTTTGATTTCAAAATCATAATGTTCTTTGCCCTCTACTTGTTTAAAGTTAAGTCACATTTTCTTTGATTGTGTAATAAAATGAAAACAATAGTTTTATGATGCATGAGCCAAATTTTAAGAGCAGCATTGTATTTAGACGTTTGTATTTAGATGTTTGCGTTTTTCTAACTAGTGTAGGCTTCTTACTGTGTGTTTGTGCTGAGCGCTTTGAGATTGATTTATTTCAAATGCAATCAAGAAAAACTGTAAAGCAGTTTCTATTTTTGAGTTTTTAAGTATGGAACGCCATGAATGGGCAGCGAGGAAATTCTCGCAAGTCTTTTAACAGTGAAACTTCACCTGAACCTCTCAAGTGGAATCCAAAGCCCTAAGTGGATTACAGTAACTAATGTGTAAATGGAAGCACATAAGCTGCTTCACAGCTATGAAACTTCAAAGCTTTCATAGAACGTCTTAAAATAGACCCGAAGACAGAGAAACAATAACAGAAAAAGAGCGACTTAGACAAGTGGAAAGTTTCCGATAGCCTGGAAAAATGACTGCACCAGCAGTTCCATCACACTTGTTCTATTTGCATGGGTGGTGTGGAATGGGAGGGGGAGGCGTTTAGCATTTGAATGACGTTGGCGTGACAGGCGAAGGAGAGAAAGCATTAGACAAGTTGAGCTATGACAGAGAGACAGCTGATGAAAGAAGAGCGAGGTGCGAGAATGACAGTTCGTCTGAACTCCCCCAGGATGGCTGACCACAGAGAAGACCCCGCCTGAATGGACAATTGAATTTCTGAGCGGTTTCACAAGACAGGCAAGGCCCGATATGTCACTGAAAGTCAGGATAATGAAGCATTTTTGTCAAAGGCATGTTTTGTGTTACAGTCTGTAGTGGAACACGTACATGGGAACCTATTTTTTGAACTTAAAATGTTCATGTTAAATAAGGACTGCTGAGATCTGTCTGAACAAACAAATGCTGTTAAGGTTTTGTAGACATGTGATTCTAATGAGGAGCAGTAGCTTAGAAACAGGCATTTGCTCATTTTCAACAATCTGTGACTGCTTATTTACTCATCACAAACAAAAGCTCTGCAGGACACATTACAAAAATGAAATCAAATGCATGTAGTCGGTTGCATGGCTTGAAATAAAGTGACTTGATAAGCGTTTGTTTGGTGCAGTCTTGCTGAGTAAAACTTATATTTTTGTTTCCCATTGACTCCTGGCTTCATTTATTTGCAGACTAGATCTGCCTTTTCCTCATGTTTGTCATTTCACCCAGCTGATGTTCTCCTTTCTGTTCTTTGCTTAACTATCTAGCCTAACCTCATTGTTCTTGGCACTGTGGCAGAGGCACATTAACCTGCTAGTGGGCCCTGGGATACAGGTGGTCTTGGACCATTTGGCTATAGTTTAAAATCCATAAAATCAGCATAATCGAGCACAACACCAGTCCACCCAACTGGTGTGGACAAATTGCACTGGCTTTAGTAAGCATGTATCTTGACATATGTTTTTTGGATGAGATGGGAAAAAGCATCATAAATGCTTTTATGTCACTTACTAACCCCCCAGTAATACCTATACCACAATAATATTTGGAGATGATTTGATGGTATTAAAAATGGGTCAAATATGATTTTAAATTAATTTTGCTGTTCGAAGGTTGCTCTTTGAGAAAAGTATTGAGAAATAGCATTAGACAAAAAGAAGGCATGAGAAACAAGAGAGATAAAGGAAAGATAAAAATTTAGTTACAGATGAAGATGAGCATTATTATTCTACCAGACCTGACTACAATACATTGCTAAACCACAATAGGAGACACGTGGAATTAGTGAGGACACTTTCTCAGGTGTAGATTTAAGCAAAAGTCTTTGTCATTCCATCTAATCTCACTGTTGTCTACACAGGATAAGAAATCTCAACACACAAGACAGGAGTCTGTTCTTGATTTATGCACTGCCTTGACTCCAAAAAAAGAGTAGAAAACATGTCAAAACATTTAATTTAGCCATTAATCCTTTTACCCTGTTTCATGGTACCTGTTACCCTGCTACCCTGTGCTATTTCAGTGCAGTGTGTCATTAGCATTAAGACTAGCTTAAAAATCCCAGCAAACAGTGAACATCGCAGCATAGATTCAAACCTTTTGAAATGTTTCATATGTCATTTTATATGTTTTAATGTTCTGAGTATATTCTAACTATCACAGACCTTCCCATGTAAAACCAATCCTGTCCACCAGTAGTGCTTTGGTTTCTTAGTTAAAATGTAGGATTTGAGACGAGTTTGAACTTCAGCTTGCGTCACTCCTATGTGCTTCAGCTGTGCATTATCCAATCTATGGTCAATTGATGATATTCGCAAAACCCTGAAAAAACATCCTGCGGTCATATTGTTGACATTCTATCAGCATAATGTGAATGAGCAGTCAATGCCGGCTTTGGCTTCCAAATCAAAATAATCAAGAAAAGGTCAGTTTGACAGGAGGTGTTAATACATATCAAGCCTGTAAGTTATGTTTGAGTTCTAATTATGTGTTATTGCCTGAGATAATATATCCAGACACCTGTAATTACCTTGTAAATAGTGCCACAGCCTACACATCGCAGGAGCTACAAGCATACAAATCACTAGGATTATCTAATTATTTTTTTCTGTGGAACAGTCAGCGATATTCTGCCTTTACCATCAACTACACCATCAAACATGTTTGTGGTAACATTCTGGTATTCTCTCAGTGGTATTCATTGTAGCAAAAGAGATCCAGAAATAAATGGTTAGATTACACAAGTCAATCATCAATCAATGTCAATCATGAACAATTCTCAACACTCGAAAATAACCAAGGGCAAAACTACAGAAGTCAGGCTTCAGCTCACTGTTTACCTGTGACAGGCTGATGAGAACAGACTTGGGGAGATGGCTGAAAGTTTTTCCTCCTTATTTTTGTTCACTCGCTCAGCTCTTCAGCCTCTTTCCCCTCACAATGTCAGACAGCCAGGGTGCTGTAAAAGCTAAAACCATTTTGTTTTTTATTGCTGTTACCACAACCATCAATCACACAGTGCCCCATGGCTGTATTTCATCTGTCAAGATGCTTCATTAACTAATGGTGTACAAACGGTGGCTTTATGAGTGCCATTGTCGTCGCAGTGTTGATCGGTGGTATGTCAACAACATGGCAGCAGCGACAAGTGTCACGTCAACCGAATACTATCTATAGTTTGATCATCATATAACACATGGAGCAAATGATCCTTTTTTTTGAAACACTGCAGAAGAAAGAAAAAAGGTATTACACCAGTAAAATGGGTATTATACCGGTTAAAAAAGGGTATTGTACCAGTAGAATGGGTATTATACATATTATACAAGTAAAATAGGGTATTATACCAGGAAAATGAGTATTATACCAGCACAATGGGTATTATACCAGTAAAATTGGTATTATACCAGAGTATTTATATAAAGGGTATATAAAGAGTATTTTACCAGTGAAATGGTTGTTATAAGAGTAAAACGAAAGGAATTATAGCATTGAATTTTTTAAAGTATAGACTGGGTAGTGAATGTGAAAAGTGTAGACTGGGTAGTGAATGTGAATAATATAGATTGGGGAGTGAATGTGAATAGTATAGATTGCATAGTGAATGTGAATAATATAGACTGCTTAGTGAATGTGAATAGTACAGATTGGGAAGTGAATGTGAACAGTATAGACTGCATAGTGAATGTGAATAGTATAGACTGCATAGTGAATGTAATTAGTATAGATTGGGTGGTGAATTTGAATAGTGTAGACTGGGTGGTAAATGTGAATAGTATAGACTGGGAAGTGAATGTGAATAATATAGACTGGGGAGTGAATGTGAATAGTGTAGACTGGGGAGTTAATGTGAATAATATAGACTAGGGAGTGAATGTGAATAATATAGATTGGGTAGTGAATGTGAATAGTGTAGACTAGGGAGTGAAAGTGAGTAGTGTAGACTGGGGAATGAATGAATAATATTGATTGGGGAGTGAATGTGAATAGTATAGACTGGGTAGTGAATGTGAATAGTATAGACTGGGAAGTGAATGTGAATAATAAAGACTGGGGAGTTAATGTGAATAGTATAGACTGGGGAGTGAATGTGAATAGTATAGACTGGGTAGTGAATGTGAATAGTATAGATTGGGCAGTGAATGTGAATAGTATAGACTGGGGAGTGAATGTGAATAGTATAGACTGGGGAGTGAATGTGAACAGTATAGATTGGGCAGTGAATGTGAATAATATAGATTGGGCAGTGAATGTGAATAATATAGATTGGGGAGTGAAGGTGAATGTGAATAGTATAGATTGGGGAGTGAATGTGAAAAGTAGAGACTGGGGAGTGAATGTGAATAATATAGACTGGGGAGTGAATGTGAATAATATAGATTGGGGAGTGAATGTGAATAATGTAGACTGGGTAGTGAATCTGAATAATATAGATTGGGGAGTGAATGTGAATAATATGGATTGGGTGGTGAATGTGAATAGCGTAGACTGGGTAGTGAATGTGAATAGTATAGACTGGGAAAGTGAATATGAATAATATAGATTGGGTAGTGAATGTGAATAGTGTAGACTGGGGAGTGAATGTGAATAATATAGATTGGGTAGTGAATGTGAATAATATAGACTGGGGAGTTAATGTGAATAATATAGATTGGGGAGTGAATGTGAATAGCATAGACTGGGGAGTGAATGTGAATAGTATAGACCGGGAAGTGAATATGAATAATATAGACTGGGGAGTGAATGTGAATAATATAGATTGGGTAGTGAACGTAAATAGCGTAGACTGGGGAGTGAATGTGAATAATATGGATTGGGTGGTGAATGTAAATAGCGTAGACTGGGGAGTGAATGTGAATAATATAGATTAGGGGAGTGAATGTGAATAATATAGATTGGGGAGTGAATATGAATAACATAGATTGGGGAGTGAATGTGAGTAATATAGATTGGGTAGTGAATGTGAATAGTATAGACTGGGGAGTGAATGTGAATGTGAATAGTATAGATTGGGGAGTGAATGTGAATAATATAGATTGGGGAGTGAACGCGAATAGTACATTTTGAAATTTTAACAATATTTATGCATTAAACACTTTCATTAAAAAAAATTGAGGAATGATATGAGCCCTTTAAAAATAAAAGTTACAGATAGGGTTCGTTGCATATATAGACTGGGGAGTGAATGTGAATAGTATAGTAGACTGGGGAGTGAATGTGAATAGTATTGTTTGGGTATGAATGTGAACAGTATAGATTGGGGAGTGAATGTGAATAATATAGATTGAGGAGTGAATGTGAACAGTATAGATTGGGCAGTAAATGTGAATAATATAGACTGGGCAGTGAATGTGAACAGTATAGATTGGGGAGTGAATGTGAACAATATAGATTGGGGAGTGAATGTGAACAGTATAGATTGGGGAGTGAATGTGAATAATATAGATTGGGGAGTAAATGTGAATAGTGTAGATTGGGGAGTGAATGTGAACAGTATAGATTGGGCAGTGAATGTGAATAATATAGATTGGGGAGTGAAGGTGAACGGTATAGACTGGGGAGTTAATGTGAATAATATGGATTGGGGAGTGAATGTGAATAGTATAGATTGGGGAGTGAATGTGAACAGTATAGACTGGGGAGTGAATGTGAATAGTATAGATTGGGGAGTGAATGTGAACAGTATAGACTGGGGAGTGAATGTGAATAGTATAGACTGGGGAGTGAATGTGAACAGTATAGATTGGGGAGTGAATGTGAATAGTATTGATTGGGGAGTGAATGTGAACAGTATAGACTGGGGAGTGAATGTGAATAGTATAGACTGGGGAGTGAATGTGAACAGTATAGATTGGGGAGTGAATGTGAATAGTATTGATTGGGGAGTGAATGTGAATAGTATAGATTGGGGAGTAAATGTGAATAGTATAGATTGGGGAGTGAATGTGAATAGTATAGACTGGGGTGTGAATGTGAACAGTATAGATTGGGGAGTGAATGTGAACAATATAGATTGGGGAATGAATGTGAACAGTATAGATTGGGGAGTGAATGTAAAAAATATAGATTGGGGAGTAAATGTGAATAGTATAGATTGGGGAGTGAATGTGAACAGTATAGACTGGGGAGTGAATGTGAATAATATAGATTAGGGAGTGAATGTGAACAGTATAGATTGGGGAGTGAATCTTAACAATATAGATTGGGGAGTGAATGTGAACAGTATAGATTGGGGAGTGAATGTGAATAATATAGACTGGGGAGTGAATGTGAATAATATAGATTGGGGAGTGAATGTGAATAGTATAGATTGGGGAGTGAATGTGAACAGTATAGACTGGGGAGTGAATGTGAATAGTATAGACTGGGGAGTGAATGTGAACAGTATAGACTGGGGAGTGAATGTGAATAGTATAGACTGGGGAGTGAATGTGAACAGTATAGACTGGGGAGTGAATGTGAATAGTATTGATTGGGGAGTGAATGTGAACAGTATAGATTGGGGAGTGAATGTGAATAATATAGATTGGGGAGTTAATGTGAACAGTATAGATTGGGGAGTAAATGTGAACAGTATAGATTGGGGAGTGAATGTGAATAGTATAGATTGGGGGAGTGAACGCGAAGCGAGGAATGATATCAGCCATTTAAAAATAAAGGTTACAGATAGGGTTCTTTGCATATATAGACTGAGGAGTAAAGAACCTTGGTAAAGAACCTTTACAATATGTGAAGCTTTTTTATACCTTTAAAAGGTCCTTCATACTCACACATCTCATTAAAAGATGTGGTTCTTTAGGGAACTAAAAAGGTTCTTCCATAGCACTGCTCGAAAAATATTTTGTGGTACCTTTTTTTTATGACTGCATTATTACCAAATTTGTGGTGAGAAGACAAGGAACCAAAGCTTCTTTCTAACCATCTCAGGCTACATGGTATCAGGGAGGGTCTCTAAGCTAGCTGTGCTTTTACTTTGCTTGATGACAGGTGAGGGTGGTGGAAGGCGGTGAAATGTAATATTATTGGTAATTTTTTTTTTTTTCCCTGCTTGCTGGTGCACAGTGACATAATCAAAAATCAGAAGACATTTCAGAGGCAAGCAAAAGTTATTTCGATGGAAGATTACAGTAACACAAGAAAATGTTTTTTTAAATGATATGATGAATCTTGCAGATTAACACCAGGGACATGAACTAATGTGGTAAAAAGGTCAATTTTGTTCATTTTGCTGCTGTCAGATCAAAACCTTGTATCTCCAAAAAAATATCTTTACAGGAGAAGAAACAAAATGTATTAAGTTTCAATGTAAGTTAACATAACAAAATGTCATTTTAAGCAGTTTTTGACCATTTCTGTTGGTCTATTTGTCATGAAATTTAGACAAAGTGTAAAAGGCAGCTGGTATTTTTAAAAGTATCAGCGGTATTCGTCTAGCAAAAGAGATCCAGAAATAAATGGTTAGATTACACAAGTCAGTCATCAATCAATGTCAACTGTCAATCATGAACAATTCTCAACACTCAAAAATGATCAAGGGCAAAACTACAGAAGACAGCTTTCAGCTCACGGTTTACCTGTGACAGGCTGATGAGAGCAGACTTGGGGAGATGGCTGACAGTTTTTTTTAAAAGGAATATTATACAAAACTAATAATAAAAAACTTTCTGATGTTCTAGAGATGGCTTGATCCCTCTTTCATTTCTGATACTGATTCTGAAACATGTTATGGATTCTTAAAGTTGTTCTTTAAAAACTTCTAAGCATTATACTGTTTTAATTGAAGCTCTTCACTTAAAGTCTACCTGATATCAAAATGGACCTTTTTTTTTTACTGACTTCTCTTTTTTTAAATCTTTTCCTCTTGCTGTTGCTGTAAAAGTGCTAACCGGTGTTTCACCTTGTCAAGCTTTCAACAAATAATGAATTGTTTCAGGAACGACAGAAAATACACAGTCAAAATGTTGTACTACAATATAATCTGCAAAACAGACAGATTCTGCTGACCATCAAAGTCTGACTCCATGTTTGTTTTGGAACTCCTGCATCTGACGATTTAGTCAGATCCTGAAGAATAAACTCATGTCCAACCTACAAATACCCCCCACCCAAGAATTCTGTTCCACTTAGGAAATACATCATGTTAAGTTAGAAAAATGTGTTCTTATTTCTGATTCTTGTTGACTTCAAGAGTGTCTTAATCATACCATGCTGACATTACTTAAAGCACTCTAATACCCCTCAGGAAGAAATATACAGCTAATATCATCACCTCAAAACAATGTAAGTGTGCTCTTTCAGGCTAGATTTGTTACAGGATTGAACTGGATTCATTTTTGTCTCCCTCACAAATCTGATCCAGCATTTTCTAGCCCAGGAGCTGATATCAGATAAGCATTGTCTGTGTTTTTCCCCTAGTTTCCTAAAATAAGATATGCCATAAAAGTAGGACATGAAATGAGACAGTTTTAAATATTTTCAACCCACTAATGCAGTGATGCAAAATTCCCCAAGAGCTGTGCTGTTATTTCAATCTTTACGACAAGGCCAAGTGTAGTACGAAATGCACGTAACCTGATAACTCACCTGAGACTATTATACATGCTTGTTTTGGAAGTTAGTCAGGCATACAGCAGGGTGCCAAAGCCACTTCAACATCTGGGATTTTTTTTTTGGATGTAAGAATTTTGAAAAAAATAAAACAAAGAAAAGAAGTAATATTCAAGATTCAAGTGATTTGGATTTCCAAATCACTGTTCAAATGTAAGCAAATTTATGACATTAATCATGTTAAAGAACTTTGTACAAACGGTAGCTTTTTTTAGTCTTACTCCTTCCACTGATGCTTTTGTTCTGAAACTTTCAGGTGGATTTGATCTACTCATCATTTGCACAAATGTGTGGTCTCCATGCCAGTTTGAGTGCACACTGTCATTAAAGCTAAAGGCTAACATACCAAGTACAGTCACAGGAAAAAGTTTAAACAATCCTGGTCAAATTATAGGTTTTGCTAACTTAAATGTCTCATTTTTTATTTATTTGTAGGATTCTTTCAATGCGGCCAAGAAATGCGTCCTTCATTTGTGAGAAATCCTTTGTGACCGTCAGTCACCAACAGTCCTTCACATACATTTCAAAACAAAAACAGCGAAGCCATGGGTTGTGAGTTACTGCGGCACCAGAGATTGTAATGAAAGGTAATGACCTGTTCATTTTAATATAACAGTTTTAAACATAAGATTTAAATGTATTGCATTGCTTACATTAGTAACCTGTGACATTGCAGTACAACCTTCTCAAGCCATCTCAATTGTGTGAGTAAACACATCGTATACCAGTGTTAGGAAGGTTTCTTCTACCTCAACTGCATCCTTAGCTTTGAGACACGGCCACAGTTAACTGTTCTAACACTTGTGATTGTAAGCATGCACTGTTTTAGGCACTGTGGAACCTATGGGAAGTCATTTTGCAGGGTGTCCTTAACAACATTGTTAAAACTCTGAAAACTGGAAGAAAGTTTCTTCAGACTCAAAACACTGGAATATTTTTTTTTTATGGAATAGGTTTGTCATGCTAATTTAAGTGTGACTTCTCCCGTTTACTTTTTGTAAAGGTACAAAGCCTCGGTATGACTGAGCCGATTTACTGAAGAATTACTCTGACTGCACGAAAATCTTTGGCTTTTACTTTTTTGCTTCACTGAAATGGTGACCGCCACCTGCTCTTTGACTGAGCCACAAGTTCTACCTGCCTCTTTAATGTCACAAATGCAAAGAGCCAAGAGTTACTGATAAAATGTTTAATGTTGAAACAGGAAAATTAATGTTTATTTTTCTCCTGCTTTCTGGCTAGTATCACTGAACGTGCCCCCCTTTTTACAGACCTCTGTGCAGGACTGGCTCAATTCAGATAAGGCAGAAAGCTATGCTTATGTTTATGACTTAAGGTCAAAGAAAAATTCAAAATGTAATTCTTCAGAAGGCATTTGTCATACTCGGTAGTCTTTGACTGGTAAATAACTGAGTCAAAACTGGCCACAAATTCATTTAGCACAACCTACAAAGGGAGAGAAGAAGTGAATTTGCCAAGGCGCAAATTCACATCCGTGATATGATACATCATTTTCATTTTATCATAAATTTGACACAAACTTGTGACAGCAGCAGTGCTGCTATGCTTTGTTGACTGCACAGGTCCTGCTTCAACTCTCACGTTTACATCTATCTCGCAAACAAATAATAGAATCTACGGAGTTAAAAAGAGAATTTCCATAATTGCATTGAAACTAGCCTGTTTTCTATACATAACACTGAAAGTAAGCAGTAAATGAGGTGAGTTCACATTAAATCATTATACATACAGACAAGCAAAGACTGCTTCAAGCCAAACAAAACACAGATAATCAAATTGAAACCAGTGAGTTCTAACTGACATCAGTCTGACAACATCCTAGAGCAAAACCACTCTCAAAGAAACAATTTGAAACCGTCAAGCATGAAATGGAAGGCGCCAAACAGGACTTCCTATGTTGCATAAAAAGAGGGATGTTTGTTTTACCCACCATCCCAAGAGGATCCAATGGATTTCAGGCATGGAGTAGATGAAAGCAGATGAAATCATTAGGTGCCAATCATTGGTGTACTCAAACTGATACTGATCCTGCACATATTAAACAATGACCAAAAAATCCTTATAAGAAAATTAAAGAACAGAATAAAAAGATGGGACTTCAGCTCAATTTGAAGAAAACAAATGTTATGCCAACGGGAAAGCCCACCAACTTTACCACTGAAGGAGAAGACGTGGAAATGGTGGACAGCTCTTCTTTGCTTGAATCACTTATTAACAACAAAAGCTCCAGTAGTGAAGACATATCACACAGATTGGCACTCTGCAGAATAAGCATAAAGGAGTGCAAAAAGATCTTCAAATGTAGTGAGGAGTCTCTACAAACAAGGATGCAAATTTTACAGGATATGGTCTTTTCTGTTATAGTTCTTTATGGATGTGATAGCTGGACTATAAAAAAAATATTGATGCTTTTGAACATTAGCAAAGACCTTTGAGAGTACCTGAGACAGCAAGGAAAATGAAAAAATAGACCGATTGAAGCCTCACCTCTCATTTGAAGTCCAGACATCTAAACTCAAGGCTATATTATACTGGACATATTATGAGAAGAACCAATTCATTGGAAAAGACCTGGAAAACAAGCACAACATGATAAAAAAAAAAAAATTGTTTTAGCAATTGCATCAGCACAAGCGTATAATGTGTCTCAAAAAAACTGCAAGGTGGAGTGACAGGGCTTTACTGTGTTCACACTGACCTCCTGTCAGTCACTCTATAAGCTGCTCCCCTACACCACATAACTGCACTCCCATCTTAGCTAAGAAAACATGGCAGAACCAGCAACATCAGGTTCTAGTACTAAGGGGGGAAAAAGCCAAAAAATTTAACAACAAGACACTTGCTGAAACAAGAATCTACACTGCAAGCATTATTATGTGAAGGGAA